TGTGAGACCCGTCGTGTCCGTCGTGTCCGTCGTATCCGAAAAGGACCCTAGCCAAAAGCACATGGATGTCTTAATAATTCGGGAGAATACTGAATGCTTGGTAAGAATTTGAACTTTAATCTTCTATAATACCATATTAATAACTTATATGAATAGTTGTATTACTGTGAATAGTACATAAAGAAAGAACGACAAATAACTGATGAATCAACGGGATTAAAGGTTGCATGGGCTGAACGAAAAATCTCTGAATATGCCTCCAGACGGTGTGGTAAAATGGCATTCGAAATGGCTTTAGGGAGGGATAAACTTAGACAAAGTATCCCATTAGAAAAAAGGCTTTGGAAAGGGAAGCCAAAGGTAACAATTGTTCATAAATCTAACGTATTGAGCATTACTGATGGTTTATGGAGAGAGACAGTGCGGGGTGTTAAAGAAAATGACCATAAATACGATGGTGTAGATATGGAAGAACAACTCGTTGATTCAATGGTTTATCGTCTTTTCCGCGAACCTCACTATTTTGACGTCGTTGTTGCACCAAATATGTATGGTGATATTATCAGGCAAGTACTATATTATTATTCTCGTATTCATAAATTTAGCAAAGTACTTATTTTTTTTTTTATAATAGTGATGGTGCAGCCGCCTTAGTTGGCAGTTTAGGAGTTGTCCCAAGCGCAAATGTTGGAGACAATTTCGTTATGGGTGAACCAGGTATTTTAATTAAGAATGAGTAATCTAGTCATTTCAGTCTTGATTTCATAATAAAAGATTGGGTCTAGACCAGTCCTTTACTATTAAATTAAACAAAATGAACCGGATCAATAATACTAATTTTAATGTTAATAAATTATTGTATTTATGAACATTCTTTCACTTAAAAATAGTACATGGATCAGCACCTGATATAGCCGGGCAAAACAAAGCAAATCCTATCGCCGCAATTCGTAGTGCTGGATTACTTTTAGAACATATGGGTTATCATCAACAAGCTCAATCTATTTATAGTGCAGTAGATGATATACTGAAGCGTGGAGAAATTCTTACGCCAGACTTGGGTGGAAAAGCGACAACTCAGCAAGTCGTAGATGCTATCATTAAGTCTCTTTTGACATAAATTTTTTTATAAAAATTATTACTGTATTTTGTATAAATATTTTAGTAACTATATAACGAAGTCTACGGTCTGATATAATGCCTTCGGTACCTATATTAAGATATTCAACCAATTTATTCTACATATTTATGTGACGCAAAATTTTTTACCACATCAAATTATTCGCAATAAATATATTGGAATTCGTTGTCTCGAGCTTTGACTATGATAAAAAAAAGGAATTATTCCAAGTTAATTTTTGTTTCTCATAATCTGGCTAGATCAATAAAACCAGATGTGCATATACGGTAGTCATGTCTTTTAGGTTGTGAATATTTTTCTATTTTCTAAAGATTAACAAATGCTATCCTTTGAGTTGTTCATCTATTTATAATATTAATATCTAAGACTTAACGATCATTTGAATTATACAAACTTGTAGTATTTATTTTAAAAAATTTTTTATTAAATTTGATAAAGTTTTTTTTTTTTATATCAAAAAAAGGTTTTCTTTGTTTCAGATTTTATTAATTTGTTTTATAAAATGTTAATTCTTTTGATTTAAGATTACATAATAAGAATACAACTAGCTACGTATATCAGTTATGAGATGTTATATTTCAAAATACTCTAAACTATATAAATTCAACTGTATCAAAATTGACTAATCATGAGAAAGTTAGACTATAATCTCGTAAACTTAGTACTGTATCATCAAAAATGAAATTACACATTGACATACATATTACTGGTTGAAAGTGATGTATTCATACTTAATAATTATGATCCGAAAGATTCTAAATTTCTTACCATATTATTGGAAAAAAAGCAACCTTCTCGATTTTGAACCTGAAATTTGCACCCTTTACTAATAAAATCATCCGAATATAGACCCCCACTGCTTCGGCCCACAAATCCAAAATCTTTTGATGCTTTATTCAATAATATATGGTAATTATTATTAGTAATAAGATTGACATTTTACTTAACAAATCTTAGTATTACGCGAAAACATAGATCATTCGATGAGCTTGGCTAAATTTGCTGACGTTATTAATTAAGGTATATACTTGTATATATCGATATTGATAGCAATAGTTTTACATATTTATTGAAAATTCTTTTTCACAACTAGAGTTTAACACATAGGCCAAATAAAAATAAATAAATAAATTAAAGCGATGGTTATTAAAGGAGTTGAAGAAATGGCCGATAAAGAACATTTCACAGATAAGGAACAAAGGAAACATTTCATAGATTTAGTAACTCAATGGATTACCAGTAATTAATTATTTAAAAATATTTTATTACATTTATTATTATAATATATATATATATTTGCATCGTTTAATAATATATATTGAAAATATAAATAAAAGGATACGAAAATTATATGAAAGAAGGAAAAAATAGCTGGATTGGAGTTGATTTAAAAGAAATCTGGTTTTTTCCTAATAGAAAATCTATTATTAGTCGTTCAAATAATCGCAAAAATCGCATTTCTTTAATATTTCGTTACAACATAAACGCCATTTGCCTTGGTTTGGATTCTATGCATTATGAAATTATTATTCCTCTGCATGAAATTCTTGGGTTGGAACAAAATAAAGAATTAGAGATCGAAGTTTTTTTGAGAAAACATTTCATTAGAGTGGTAAATATATAGATTTTTTTTTATAGATTATTTGAATTTGATGGTAAAAATTTAAAAAATTTTTTATTCTATCCCATATTTAGTATTATCATAATCCACATAGAGGTTTCTGTAAATATTTTACATCAATATTGAGCGAAGATCCAACAAGTAAAGAATTAACTTTACATTGGTTAAATAATTTTATCAAACAACTAATTTATGATTTGTATACAAGGAGGTGCTTTGCAAAGAGTAGAAAAAATCGTATTAAAATTAAGCGAATATGTAAACCCCGCATTAGTTATCATGGTAATTGGTGCGATTAAAAAAAACATTACGGAAAAAACTGAAATTACCAATAAAGTAATACGTAATATTTTTTTTGTTTCACATATTTACTTACAAAACGATTAATTTTTATTAATTAAACCAATTCCTTTAGTGGAAATGCGCTGTCTTAAACAAAAAAACAGAACATCTTTTTTTAAACAAAATGGTACGTAGGATTAGGACACGATATTTCCCACTTTATTTTTACTTTCATTTTTAATTTTTAATTTTTTTTTTTTATTCCAGCTTGAAATCATTTGTGTCTTTCTAATTGGTCACCTAACCATAACTTTTCCATATAAAAGTACGATCAAAGATATCTTCGACCATATACAAAAAACCTTCGGCATCCACCTTGATTTTCATCAAATGCGATATACAAATGTTGTAGGAGATCTTATTAATATGAAAAGTGAGGAAGATTGGAAAGTTGCTAAATGGGAAGCTATCAGATGGAATAATGGGAGGATGGTATTACAAATAGGGAATTACTTGTAGTTGTTTAGGTAGGTGTTTCATCATTAATTATGTGAAATTTTTCCAAATATTTTTTATTCCCTATCTCGTTATATAGCTAACCAAAACTAGAAATGCAAAAAACGAAAAGTGCTAAGCAAAGTTTTTTTTTAGTTAGTACGTAATGCTCAAATGCTTGTTTCTATAAATGGTGGGATTTGGTTCGCACTTAACCACTTGTTGAAGTTCATGCACGCATGCTTCATTGGTAGCATGCATCATTGATAGCATGCATTATATATTAAAAAAAAATTTTTTTTTGAAACCATTGATATATGCATTTGTACAACAAATATTTCAAATAAATTTGCGAAAATCGCTCTGATCATAATCGATTTTCTAATTTACAGGTGAAAGTCAAAGGATGTGTCATTAATACATATGAGGTTTTCATTCTCTTGTTTGTGTACATAGCATATGTTAAATCATTCTTTACTGTTAAAATATTTTAAGTGGATCGGACAAGCAAAGCACACATTTAGCTTTAACTATTCATTACTAGCATAATTTCTATAGAAGCGAAACTCATTAAGAAAACACTATTTTATCTTGACAATAACATTTCCCATTACAAAATGCCTCTTTCCAAGCGAAAATTGTCATCAAATAATATGTTTATAGAACAAACCTTGATCCAAGAGAAAGTATCTCTCGTGAGCAATATTGATTATATAGATTCTGATACTGGCGTAAACGATCAGAATGAATCACATTTCTTTTCGGTAATTTGGTCAGGTAGCAGCAAATCTCTCACCTGCGGTTTTAGCGAGCTTCCTTATTGGTTGCAGGATAACGTTGATATTCTCAAAGGTACAGAATAAACGTAATTATCGAAATAATATATATTTTTTTTTGATTGCACATAATTATAAAACTCGTTCTTTAATAGGTTATCGACGACCAACTTATTCATATATAAAATGCTTGCAGTCTCTATTTTACCTTCATAACGAAAGTGGTATGTATTATATCATGAATTTTAGTAATTCACCTATTTGTATCATTATAAACTAATCGTGTTTTATTTATGTTTTTAAAGTCAACATTTGGTCTCACCTTATGGGTGCGCTTATATTTACACTTTTCTCTGTCATAACATATTTTTATATGTCTACGCATTCTTCAATAAAATGGTGGGATTTCTTTGCATTATATTGTTTTTTAATGGGCGCTTTAATATGTCTTTTCCTTTCGGCAACGTTTCATACTTTTGCTTGTCACTCGGAAACGGTAATAAATAAAATTCATACTTGTGAAAATTGCATGGCAATAATTCAAATCTTAACTGTATAATAATTTTCCATTATATAACTATAATGAATCTTTGATAGGTGTGTGCAAATTGGAATAGATGTGATTATGTTGGGATAGTATTCTTAATCGTGTAAGCGCATTTCAATTTTTATCCCAGTTTTTTTCACAAAATTTATTCATTTATTTATAGTTAATATTTTAATAATTAGCGGTTCGGATATCGCCATTATATACTATGGTAAATCGATTGGTCTTTTTTTTTTTTCTCTTATTAGTACAATCTATTAACTTAGTTGTTTAATACTTGTAGCATTTTATTGTCATCATGTATTAATGACCTTTTATATCACGTTGCTTTGCATTTTTGGAGGTGCCACGGTCTGTCCAATTAATAATGTTTTATCATTTTCTTTAATTGTTATCTTTATTAATTTATCTATATTCATATAGATTTATTTGGCTATTCCAAACCGATTTAGAACACCTGAATTTCGATTATTTCGCGCTGGATTATTTGCTGCACTAGGTTCTCAACATTCACTTTTAAATTACGTGACAAAAAATATTTATTTGTTTGCTAATAAATTTATTTTTGTAAATTATTTTGATATCTTATGCATTTTAAATCAAATATTCTATCGAATTCTTAAAAATGACCATATGAAGGTGCTAGCGCCTTCTTTCCAGTCCTACATGCTATTATATTATATGGGGTACCTTTTTATATATATATTTTTTTTTCTTGTTTATTTTAATGCTATTAAAACACCCATTAACAGAAACTTTATTATTGTGTATATAGTTACAATTGTGCTATGATGTTATGTCTCTCAAATGGATGTTAATAACTGGAGCCTTTTATTTGATAGGTGCAGTTTTTTATAGTGCCAGGTAAGTTTTTAAAAAAAACTATTTACATATAATTTTTATACACTTATTTATGTATTATATTATTTATTACAGGATACCTGAAAGATTTTTTCCTGGATCATTTGATATATGGTTAAGTTCAATTTTTTAATATTTTTAAATGATATTTTTATGATCATAAATATTTTCAATAACACTTTAATTCATAATATACAGGGGACATTCTCATCAAATTTTTCATTTTTTGGTGGTTTTCGCTTCATTATCATATTATTATGGTATAATTCAAGCGATGTCATATTGGCATGAAAATAATCATGAATGTCAAATTGATATTGTATCGATGAAAATCAGACAATCAATCATTTAATATATATAATAACTGATAGACAATATACAATACGTTGTATTTAAATATTTATAGTACGAGATATTTTAAATTTATCTGAGGGAATTTCTTTCTTTAAAAAGGAAAAAAAAATGGTTTAGTATAATTCATTTCTTTTTTTTTTAAAAAAAATGAATTAAAAAATAAATAAAAATTAAAAAATATCAATATTTACACTAACTTAACATTAGATTCTAATCTCACTGCGAAGATTTATTTACCTTGTGTTCTAGATATTTTAATTATTTATTAATTAATCTATTTTTACATAAGCCATGAAGTATATGAACGCTACAGGCTAAGCTCATATGTTATCCCTTATATTGTTTTCCAGGCAAATTTTCAAATAATATAATAAATATCTTTGTAGCACCAAACTGTACTAAGTAAAAAACCCCCTAATGCATGACCAATCTTTGATAAAAGATTTCCAGGAAAATTTGCCTGGAAAACAGTTGACGACAATCATACGTAATTAGAGTACGTATGGAAAGCATGACCGTTATGACTAAAATTATAATGCCTGTGACTTGCACAGAACCTTAGCTACGACCAAAATAGTACAATGTTAAAAGCTAGGGCAATTTAGAAATGACAATATGAATAGGAATGTTTTTCAGGCAAATTGCCTGGAAATGATCTACAGATTAAGGGATAATTTCAATTCATACAGAAATTCTATTGGCTGTGAAAAATGTAAAATGCTGCAATTTGATTGGTTAATATGGTGAGTTTAAAATAGAGAAAGAAATTACCTGATTATAATAATTGAAAAAAAGAAAAATTTATATTCGATTTTCATTTTCACTACTGTATTAGCATCATTAATATATATCAGATATAGTATATCAAATCTAAGTTGTAATATTACATTAACAGTTCACATTTACATTCTTAAAAACTAGATATCTTTTATACATAACAATTTATTTTATGGGTTATACTGTATCAATTGAAACCTTTGCACACTAATT